TGTTAATTACTCTGCAAAGCTGTCTATTGTGCATAAGCTAAAGAGCAAGAGAGATTATAGTTATTACACCACAAAGCGCCGCCTCACGCCCTTGTCTTCTCTCAAGGGTTTAAAAATGCTACATGCTTTATTATAGTGGTGCTATACTATGCAAAGGGAACAAATATCCAAATATGAGGAATTGAATTAACTAAAGAAACAAAGATCTTGTGACTGGCAGAAATGGTACCCAACTGGATTTCTAAGGTAGGAGCTGTATGCTTGAGGAAATGCAAAGATCTGGGTGTTTTCTTTTCCTCCTCCTTTCTCCGTTAGACTACATGGGCTGCACGTGCAATATCTTTAACTTCTGTCGTTATGGAAGGTGCTGTGTAGCTCAGTCTCAAGTTTGATAGGAATGTGGTGGTGTGTGTTTGGTTGGTAGGTTTTGGTGGTTTGCTTTGAGGGATTTTCCTTTTTTTTTTCTTTTTCCTTTTTTTTTTTTCCTGCTGGTTGACCTGTTCATTGCTCTTAGCTTTCTCCCACAAACACACATGCAAACACTTCTTTTTTTTTTTTCAGTTACATCTTAATTTCAAATAGCTCAGCTGCCAGAGATGAATCTGCTGGCCCCTGTGGCAACTGAAAGCAGTGGAATAAATAGTTTGGCTAATAGTGTGTAGCAGTTGCCTATTTGGAGTAGAAAATGCTAGCATTAGCTGTTAAGTCTAAACAATCTCTCAATGTAAATGTAGCCAGCTGCAGGAAAGCTAATTATCTTGAGAAAGAAAGCAGAAAATCGTTTGTGTTCCGGAACGTGTCAACATGTGTACGACGGCCCCAAAATGGGTCATGTAGAATATCTCTGCTGCCCCTGCCTACCCTGGGAAAAGTATCACTTAAATGTCTGCTGTCAAAGTGCTTCTTACTTCCAGATCAGGTTTCATGTTTTCTGATGTTACACGTGCTTCCTTCCCACTGTTTTTTCCTACCAACTCCACTCTCCAGCTATTAGTTGAAATCCATGAAATAGTTTATAACTGGGAACTGAACCAAGCTCAGGGTGATTAAAAAAAAAAAGTATATTTTGTGCTTCTGTGACTTGTATTATTTTTGTATATAAACAGGAATGATGCCTTCCTGATGATTTATAAATATTGAATAAAAATAAGGTTTGGGGAAAAAAAACAGTTTAAAAACTTAAACTTTGTTCTTATTTTCATTCTAATGAGTCCATTTGTTTACTTCCTAGACTAGCTTCAGGTGAGTCATCACTTAATGAGGGAGGCTAATTATCTAATTGTGGCAGAGACATGCCCCTTTAGATTTAGTGTTGCAGTGCTCTTTGGGTGGGGGAGTATGGAGGGAAATAACTTCGATTGACAGGGTTGTACTTGACTTTTGGAGGTTGCATTGAACTAATGAGATCTACAGCAGTAGGAGAAATAATTGAGGTAAGTGCTCAGCTAACGTTTTTAAGAGGCTTTATTCTCTTCATACTGCTCAAATTCTCACAGACATATGAACAAAATATTGCCTGGAATCACACTCTAGGAAGCTGTAGAGCTAGTTAAGAGTTACACTGCTTGTATGTAAAGCTTGTTTCCTCATTCCCTCTTATATTCAACTTTCACAAGATCAAGAATAGCTTGTGTCGCTGTGTAAGTCAGTGGTCTCATGAGTTTAAAACATCTGTGCGCCCGTCGTCAGATTGGGCTCTGAAGTGCGGCCTGTGGTTTCTCCACTCCCCAGCTGAGGTAAAAGTTCTTTCTTGGTTGCTGAGTGAGACCAAGAGAGGAAGACTCATTACTTTTTTTCCAGTATGTTTTCTGTCTGTGACGCAGAGTGTCTGTCATTTCTGTAGTGAAACTGGGGCTGAATTGTATTAGTAAAGCTGGTCTTCAATAAAATGGACTGTAAGGCAGCCTTTCTTGGTATCTGAAAAGATATAAAAGTCAGTGTACGTGTCAGAGATGGTGTGGGAAATAAAATTGAGTTATCTTTTGTTCCTTGCCTTTTATGAACTTCCCATCCCAAATTTGGGCCTTGTAAAAATGCTTACGTTTGTAGTGACCTAAGTTTCCGTCCGAAGTTGTTCTTGGTCTCCGCTGAATTGAAGGAAAGATGAGGATTTTCTCACATAGTTTTCTTCCTTAAAGGCTCTAATTCACTGAGTATATTTGTGTCAAATATTTTGTTTTCAACCTAAAATCTAACTCCTCATTCTTCCTCACTCCTCATTCATGAGGAGCAAAAATTCCAAATCTGACTGTCTCAATACTTTCATTGATAACTTTTTCAATGTTCACCTAGGAATCTTTAAAACAATGTTTTAGTAGCATGCTTTAAGCTTTATAAGTGGTGATGCGGGTTTTTACTACTGCTTGCCTAAAAAGGTGAGAGCCATTTTAGGAGTTGAAGATTTCTGCTACTAAATAACAGCAAATGCTGTTTGGGAAGGTGACCTTTGGGAAGGGGAGCCTAACACAGGTTACCCACGATGTCCCATGCTTCTGCGAGTAGTGCCGTATTTAACGTTCGGTGAGGACGGTGATCACTTCTGTTTTTGTACCATTTCCTCTCTATTCACATGTATGCCTGAATGAGAAGGCTGATATCTAGTGTGATAATTAAGTAGATTCCCAGCGGGCTGTGAATCCATCACATGAAGCCCATGTTTACCACTGTGTGATGATGTCTGGTTTCATTCAAAAAAATCTAGTTATTCTCTTCACACGCTTGAAAGGATGAAATACAAATTTGGTCAAAATATTCCTTTCTACTTGCTGTTCTTGTTCTGTTCTATTTGCATGGCATCCCTGGCGGAAGGAAGCAGGAGAGGGAGCTGCCTCAGGAGTTAGTTCCAGACATTTCATCTGTGCTGCACCAGTTCCCCAGGGAATTATCTATGGAAACCTCTTACTCCCCTGAGTGGTCAAGTGGTCATTGTTATATGCTACTCCTGTGTTGAAAAGACATGACGAAAAAGAAGCTGCTCTTGCATCTGGGTAGCTTTCCAGCTGTTTTATAATTCTCACAAGTGAGCACAGGCCAAAGAAATTTTGAAAGTGGATGTTGAAGAGCCACTTCATGTGATGCAGCACAGTCAGCTACATCACCAAGTGATAAAGGGAATGCTTAGGAGAGACTCGCGTTGCTAGTGAGCAGACCATTTTTTTCAAGTCATCTCCATGATTTGCGAAGGAGAAACAGCTTCCATAGTGGTTGTCTGTTTGATGAAGGGAAGCACTTCTAGTGACTTGTAGTGTTGGGATGGAGGCTGAAATAAACCGACTTCAGTGAACAGGTCGCCAGGCACGAGTGGTATCCACCCTGCAAGTCAGTCCTGCATCATGTGATAGTAGCCTAACCAAAAATGTAAGAATGCACTGAAAACCATGCTGTTCCTTGAAGATTGAAGGCAGGGGGCTGCTTTTCTTTTTAGAGCCAACTGTGTACCCAGTAAGAGAAATTTGGATCAATCCTAAACTTAATAGTAATGAGTTATTAAAAGCTGTCATTTTTCAATATGTCTTGAAACGAAATGGTTGCATCCTGATACTGAAACTGTGATGTAGATTGTCAAAAGTACCTCTAGTGTTCTGAAACGCTGAAATATATTGATGCCTATTGATGTTGATATCTTAGATATAATCGTAGATATCACAGATATCTAAGGTGATCAATAATGTTGAACCTTCTTTTTTTAAAAAAAAATCTGAGATAAATGTCTGGGTAAGTGTGATTTAGGTAAACTAAAGCTATTTGAATATAGAAATGTATACTCCTAACAGGATTTTTGTCTCGTTGTTGGTAGATTCAACTGCATTTTAAATGTTTAGGTATTAGTCTGAACACTTACTGCTGCTCTGTAATGGGCTTGGGTCTTCTCCGAATCCCTGGCAAGTTTGTCAAGAAAAGAGGCTAATTGTATGCACCTGCCAAAGACATTTATATTGTACATTATATAGCAGTTTTGTCTGTCTATTTTAAAGGGCCAAATAGCCCCCAAAGAGGGAAACATGCAGTGCTGTGTCTGCTGGCTTGCGGGACTGGCTGAGTGTAAAAGGAACACACTGAACCATCTAAAATTAGTGCAGCAACTGGAGACACCATGAACATCCTGGCCTTCTGAAAAGGTTTTTGTCTCCCTGTGGTTCATCTCTAACATTGTCATTTTTTTTTTAATTGGAATTGAGCAAAAAATACAGCCGGGTATTTGGACTGGCTTCATATAACTGGAATAGAAAGACATTTTATCATTCATTCTATCATTTGTGCAAAATTCCTTATGGTCTTGTGAACAAATGGCAAATTTATCCTTCTAACCTTCCATATATTTTAAAATCTGTTCTTTAAAGGAGGAAAGTTTTAAACAATGTTCTACTGCCATCATTGCAGTGACGTTTCCTATGCAGTGAAGTGGCTGGGAAAACTAGCCCCAGAAACGCAACCACACAGAATGTTGTTGAGGTTGGGAAGGATTTGGATCTTTGTGGAGATGATGTTTTCAGACTCTCTCAGTCTCTCTGTTGTTCAGAATTGAAGCTGGGCTGCAGCTAAAAAGTCTCCAGATGGATGGGCCACAGTTTTGCCACTTCCGCTACCTCTGCTCTGTAACTGGCTGGGATATCTATATCCATCTTTTATGAAACGATTCTTACAGAAACTGAAAGCTGAAAGGGGAGAAAGGCATAGTGTCTTTTCAATTACCACCGCAAATGGAAGCTTCTTTTAATGTTTTGGTGGAAAAATTGTCTGAAATAAGAATAAAAACATGCTTCTGATGGAGAAAACCAACCTCTGGAGTGTGTGTGTATGTTTGTTTTCTATGTCGTGCTGCTATAGAATTCAGTTCAGTTTTGTTGGTCAGAGGAAGGTTTTAATGCTCCCTGTTTCCCAAGGATTTTTGAGACCCATTGTTGTTATCACTCTATTTGGGGAAATGCTTGAGGAAATCCATACCAGGAAATCCATTGATATCAATCAGTGGCCAGACGTGTTGCTTTTCTGTTTTGTAGGTAATGAAAATACAATTCCGCCTCCAAGGAGAGTGTACACGGTGGATCTCCCTCCTGAGGGTTATGTTGCAATTGCTGAAGATATCGATAGTGTCTCAGTTTCTGAAAAATCCGAGAGTGGTGCTGACTCAACAGGTAAGTTGTTATGATTTTTTTCCAGAGAAACTTTCTAGCAGTTCGTATCAAGTCCACATTGGAACAATTGGGTATTTAAACCATTGCTGCCAGTGGGTGTCACTGTTTTGCAACATAAGCAGAATGAAGATGTAAATCTGGGTGGGCTAATTCCCTTTTCCACAGTTTGAACCCCAGGTTTGGCATGTGGTTTTGGCCATGCAGTGCTACTGACATTACTGAAGTTACCTAAGGTGCAACTGAGAACGAAGTCTGACTGCAGCTCTTCCCCCTCAGGTGCCACATGTCTGTTCATATCATGCCTGCCTACACACATACTATTTTTATGAGTATGGTTGGATAAAGCTGTTTTGATAAGTCTTATTCACAGCGTTTCTGAGGAGTTGAAAAATGATGTAAACTCATTTGTCAAACTTAACCTATCTCAGTTAGACCAGAAGTTTACCTGTTTGGAAGTAATACAGGGAGATACCGACCTATACGTTTGGAGAGGCCTTCTAATGAGAAACTGACACCAGAGAACTTTAGAACCAATATTTAGTGTTGCCAAAGGATCCAAGGGAAGATGTGTAAGGTCTGTAAAGAAGGCTGTAACTTGACCCCAGTAAAAAGCATAGTTTCCTGAATGACATTACCATAATTAAATTGATCGATTTAGAGAGAAGTACTGAGCTTAGATGAGAGAAATTCATTTAGATGTCTGTTTTTTACTGTCTTTTCCCCAATTGCTAGGTTTCTCCAAAATTGTGTTTACTGTCATTTGCTACTGCATTACTAACAGCTGCTAAGGCCAGTCTTCAGTAAAGAAAAAAATCTAGAAGAATTTCCTGAAGGAATACGCTTGATGAACAATGTTTACTTAGCTACTATTTGTGTTTTAGCTTGATGACTGCCTAAATTTAAGAAAAATCTGAGATTCAACCTGCAGATAAAGAAAGGCCATTCAGCCTTTCTTTTGAAAACAGTATCCACAAGGGTAAAATTTTGTCTTGGAAATTGGGCCTGTTTTGCAGTCTGAGCTGCACTCCTAACAAAGCCTGTGATCAGCCTGTGGTTCTGATTTGCAACCAGGCATTTTGCCTTTCCAAGGGGAACATTGTCTTGAAGGGAACCAGATAAATGTTCAAATCTGAATTCAAGGAAAACTATCAAAGAAATCAAAGATGATAAGTACAGCATGCCTGGAGGTGGCATATCAGGGATGATTATTCTCAGCAGAAAATGATTTAAAGTACTCTTTGGGCTGGGGAAGAAAATATTTTCATCAGAGAAACATAACAATAAATATTGATACTACTGGGATTAAGGATAGAAGGGAATTCTAGAATGCAGCCTTTAAGCTGTGCTTTTTCCCTTTGTGTTGAGTAGGATCTACATGCAGAATCCCACGTGTCCTCTCATATTATACTCCAGGTGAATTACACAGCTTCCTAGGCCAGTTCGTTGGGTTTCTGTTCCTAGCGCGCCAGATACTGAAGCACCCTTTCCCTTCCTCCACCCTGTGTAATTTCTGTTTGTTCTTTCTGGCATCCTTTCACATTTTAGCGGGACATACCCCTTATGCCTTATTCTGTTGTATTTATAAATGTGACTAAATTATCCGTCCTAATACTTGTAATTAGCCCTATTCATTTTTATAGGAGGATGCAAGCGAAATACAACATTCAGACACAGTTCTCCATACCAGACCTATGTATTTTTATATAGGTATCAATCCAGAATATCTATGCCAAAGTTGCTGAGCTTCAATTTAAAATCTGCAAATAATCAAGATGCAGTGCATATTAAATACTGGTATATCACATGACAATAGCATTTAGGATAGCATGATGTTGGTTTTTTTTTTTTTTTTTTTTTAGATTGGTTAAATATTTGTTCAGTTTTACAATTAAGAGATTGTTGAATAATAGCTTTAACTTTTCAGTTTTTAGAACTTTTCTAGCTCTTCATAACAAACCTGTTCAACCATGACAGCAGTAAGTAGTGTTCTGGTTTTGCTTAGTGGTGGCGTTGACTCTAGGATGGTGGTCTCTTACAGTTCACCTCTTATTATTGGAATAGGTTCAGGAAGAGTAGATTCACCCCCCTTTTCAACAGCTGATTCATTTTTTTTTGGAATTTTGGGAGACTCACTTTGCAGATTGTGATGAAATGGAGAAAAATAAACTTGGAATTGAATTGTAGACACTTTGAATATATTTTCCTTTTCTTTACTCTAAAGAGAATTCTTGCCTGATAGCAATGTAATTTGTTCTTAAGTCTCCCCAGATAGGGAGATTTTATACCTCCTCTTCAGTTTGTTCTAGTGTTTCACTGTCTTAAATGTATCCTAGATGCTTCTTGCTGCTGCTTAAGCCCCTTGTTACTTGTCCTATCTAAGCATGAATTATAAAAATAGAAATTTGTGCTAATTCTGCAAGCTTGAGGGAAATTTTACATGTTAATGGCTTTTATTGTATTTAAGCTTATACATAAATTTTTTGCAGGATTAAGGCTGTAATTTCAGGTAACACTGATATAAATAAAATAGGAATAGTTTTACCCATCATACTGTAAATTATTTAGTTAGTGGGCTCAGATTAAGTTGCATAACTTCACAGTGAGAAATGTATAAAAATATGATGCAATGTAAGGTAAATAATGTATACTGGATAGTTTCTTTGGTATATTGGCAGTGAGTGGTCTTACCACCTAAGTACTGTTGCCTTTTTGAAGATAATGTAGAATTAACTGTTTCCTGTTTGATTCCTCACTTCAAGAAACAAGTTTTCTGTAGAAGTATTTATCAGAAAATAATTTAAATAAATCACTATACTAATCAGACGTATGTCTGTCATCTAGACGTTTTGTCTAGATGACCTGATATGGATCTGATTCAAGGGTAAGAATTTGTATGACTTTCAAAAATAAACAAAAACCCTCTGGTACTAAGTGGATCAGTGAACATGTGACAGTGACAAGTGTCAAGCATGTGTTTATGTAACTCAGGTAAGGTTAAGCCTCTGAGAGGCTCTGCTTTTTTGATTCCTTTGCTCAAGAGCACATCTCCTCATCGCAGATTATGCGTAACACGTTTTATTGACGTGTGCATCCACCAGAGTAATTTTCCTAGGCTCAGCTCTGTGGGAGCTGTTCTTGAAGACCCAGCTCAGGCAGAGCAGGCTAGTTCTGGAGGTGATGTACAGAGCAAGAGCTCAACTGGAGTTGTGTTCCTGAATACTTCTGTGAAGGAATCCTTGTATCGCTATTAGAAGCAGTAAGAGAAAAAAAAAGAGCCTTCTGCCAGGAATTAGCGACGTGATCATCCCTATGAGGGCAACAGCTGAATCAAACCAGTTCAGACAGGGCAGTCAGACAGGTTTGTTTTGAGAAACAGCTTTATTTGGAAATTACAGCGGCAGAAATCACAGCTATGAATTGATTCCTGCATATCCCTCTGAATCTGTTTCGCTAGCGTGCAGGGGGTGTTGAAGGGTTGTCTGAAGCCAGATGTCTGATTTTGAGCATGTTTATTGTTGGGCAGCACAATGTCTTGTTTAGGGCTGCGTAGGACCAGAAAAGAGATTGCCACCCTGCTGACTCACAGGAGAGCATGCAAGTCAGTGCACAAGATTTTTCTGAAAATGTAGATATCCATTTGATGTCTTTTGTGTCTGAAATATGAATTTAGACATGACCTGTTTCTAAGTTATTTAAAAGTCGAGTTAATTATAGTTATAAATTAGTTAGGTCTTGTCACCTATAAAATATATTGGGCTTTGTCCATTATTCCTCTCCTTTAAACTTGTAGTTGCCTTATGATGGATAATCTCAGAATAAAGGGAATCTTGTCCAGACTGGCTTCCAAGGAAGAAAAAGAAAAACAAAACCTGTCTGTGTGAGTGTTTCCGTGTGTCCTACTCCATTTATCTCTAGGTATTTCAAATACTTCTCCCTGTAAATAAATAACTACATTTATTGTGACCATATATGTGGAGTCTATTATGCAGTCACTTAGTGACTTGCACTTAAGTGACATAAGGGCTTTGAGGTTTAGTTTTGCAGCTTGGCTTCTTTGTGTAACACTTTTCATTCATTTCTCTCAGGAGCACAGGAGAATAGAGGAATACATTTATCTTTGAGGTTTTATTCCATCAGATAAGCAGGTGGTTGGCATCTAATCATCTATACATCTAATAAGGAGAAAAATCTAAGGCTGTGCTGTCTTTCAGAAAAAAAAAATCCAGTGTACTTAAAAAAATAAATTTTGGACTTGGTGTCTTGAATTTTTTAATACTACTTTGACTCAAGTGTTGTATAGGGATGGAATCACTGTGACGGTGTAGTCAGGTCACCTATTTGTAGACAGAATGGAGCAATATGGGGTTAGATAAAAGAAGGAAACAATGAGGAGGATTTATGTTCTTCATTTTTTTTTCTTTATTGCCTTTTGTACACATTAATGGAATACCAGCTTTATTTTTACTGTAGCCTTTTGACAAGGGCATTAAAAATGTGTTGTTCAAGCTGTAGATAAGCATTTATTTATTAAATTCTGGTAATGGAGTCAATACCTTTAATTTTGATTTCTGTTCCAGTTTATTACCTATTTAAATGAGCAGTGTTTCTTCAAGATAAGTTTGAGAGGTATTGATAAGAATATTCTGAATAAAAGCAGAATTGTGGAAGGTTTTAGTAAATATATATTGACCTACTATAAAGCAGTAGCTCTGTTTTTTTTGTTTGTTTTGTTTTGTTTTAATTTCATAAGATTGAGGCAAACTCTTTGATCTCATTTCCCCAGTAGCATTTCTTCTCAAGATATTCCAATATAAGCCACAGTAATAGAATATAAAATATGGAGTAATTGTATGAGGCACAAAACAATGAATTGGAGTATAATTTCTCCATGAACTGTTTTAATATTAAATACATATTTTTATGTAGAGTCCCAGAGTGGTATTTGGTGTTTCCTAGGTGCACAGCAGAGCAAATTTTTGATATAAACACTGTGGAAAGCA